TATAAAATATATACATATCTCATATACATCATAATTTATTGTATTGTGAACATCTTATAAATTTTTGTTGCAATAACTTTTTCTAATCTGGCGAAAATGTCATCCCGTAAAATGTCTCATTGAATGAATTTTAAAATATATATCATACAAATATGATTATATCATAAAAACGATTGTAAATGCATGTATGTAGCATCACTTGTTTTTCCAAAACGCTTATATAAATATTAGGGGTATATACATAATATATATATAATTTTTTTAATGTCAAAGATAAATAGCTTCCTACAGAACGAAAGGTAAAATGTACGCCAACATATCTCTCGGTCTGTAGGAAGCTACTTATCTAACATTAAAGATAAGTAGCTTCCTACAGATCGAGAGGTATATTATTGACGTACATTTTACGGGATGATATAGCGATGATATAGCGTACGCTTCATTATAAAATTATCGCGTCTTATATCAATTATAGAACAACTTGATCGGATTTATGAATACAAGACACGCGATAAAATTCGATATACTACGACATATTATACAAATTAGTATTATTGCGAAAATCTTTGAACGTTGCATATGAACGTTGTTATATGAAGATAATAGATCGGAAAATTTAAATAACATAAAAAATAAAAGAATGGAAATTTGCGGAAATTATTGTTCCGGTACAACCAATAATTTAAATAACCAATCAAAGAAGCGACAGAATTAATGAGTGGACAGATCAATCCAATTCTGTCACTACCTTATACGAAGTAAATTAATATTAACAAACGTCAAAAAATGATGCTTTCTACACTTTAATTTAAAATGAAGCAATTATTCACACATTGTTTTTTTTTATTTAACTACATTTAACTACACAATTTTATATTTATATTTAATTACACGACACATACAAAAATGCTTCCAAACTTAAAAATTTAAGATCAATCAGAAAAATTTTGTCCAAATCGAATATCGAATCCCGAATTCTCGAAGAGTTTCGGGTTCCGAATAGTCGAGACCTGTCCGACTCGATCCGATCATTGTCCGATCCGACTCGGATATTTGAATTTTTCGGGCACTCATACACCCCTATTAAATATAAATCTAAAAATAATTCTTCAATATAATTACGTAGAATAAATGTCATAAAATAAATGTCAAAATTTTTTGCGATATTGCGTGTTTGAATGTCCAACATATTATTTTGATAGTTCAACAAAATTATTTTCAAATCTATATCTAACTTTTAGATATTTTAAAAGAAAATTTTTAGATATTGTATTATCTAAATAAAAAAAATTAAGTATCTAGATGTTGTCTATTTTATTTTATTTTATTTATTTTCGCCGTGGAGGAAATAGGTGTCTAGATATTCGCCGTCGAGAAAGTGAGCATTTAGACATCCTTACACTTCCTCGACGACAAAACACCTAAACATCTACTTTCTCAACGGCGAAAACATAGATAACACCTAGATATTTAATTTTTTTTTTCTTGTAATTGTTCGCCGGGTAGCGGATTACCGTTCAATCTATCCAATTTATATTATATGATCTAGATACTCTCTTGCTGGACATTGAATATCTAAACATCTATTAGACACTTATTTCTATAATGACGAACGTGTACGTTCGTCACAACACTTAGACATCCGCTTAATTAATTCTCAATATCACAAATCTTACTAATGCAATCTTATTGACGCGCAATGTGTCGAATTTATAATTACCTATCGACTAATATTGATACAGATTCCCGATCGCGTTTATCCAAGCATGGCTCGCTGAGAAGCAGTACCGTCTACATAGCCGTCCCGCTAAGTCTAAAGATTCGGGGAAACTAGTAGCGCAACTAGCGCTATTTCATTTTTTTTATAATCTATTATGCCTCCGATACACCAACGCAATGTTCGTCGCGCGCGACATGCGATATCCAATGAGTGTACAGCTTTACCGATGTTTTCATTCTAAAGATATATTTTCATTGGATATCGCGTGTCGCGCGCGACAAACAAGAACGTTAATAATGTTTTCCCGAACGCATTTCTAAATTGCTTCTCACGGCGCGCGACGCTTGAAGTGGGCATAAACAGCATCGCAATCCGGACTCTGTTGATAAATTTATTATTGTTATTATCTTGCAAATTATTCCAAAGAACATGTATGTCTGAAAGACATCCAAGATATTTTGAACTAGACATCTTTAGGACTTTTCCAAAAGACGTCTTTTTTTAGATGTCTTTCAAACATTTTTTAATGATGTCAAGAAATTATTCAAGTTTTGGAGCAATTTATGTGTAGCAATTTACATTATCGACTGCAAATTTTATTTATACATGTCAATCGAGTGCATAACATATCTGATCAATCTGAATACATTACATAATCTATGACATTATTGATAATTAATCAGGTATTCTAATATTTTGTTTTATATTAAAGTGTTCTACAATTACACAATTATACGAAGCTGTCTGGAAACGCATTGACAAGATGAAGCAGCAGTTGGAATTACCTGATAAAATAAAAATAGTATATGAATGATATCATACTTAATATATAATATATTTTCAATAACGATCTATTATCTGTCACAAGTATTATTATTGAAAATATGTATTAAGTATGATATCATTCACATATCGATTTATCAGATAATTCCAACTTCTGTTTCATATAGGTACTTCCTCTTGTCAACGCGTTTCCGTATCAGTAATTTTTATTTTTATTTTTTAGATAAATGTCTAAGGCAAGTTTTAAGGATAATGTCTGTAAGACGTCATAAAAATAATTCTGTAAAATGTCATAAGGGAGTCTGTAAGACGTCTTAAGGGAATCCTAAAGCCGTCGATTCAGCCTTTGTTGAAAAAACTGATAATCTCGGATGCTTGCAATTCGCTGACTGGCGTAAAGACATGGGGCGGTCTCGCTGCGCGTCTACTTAGTGCGGGACATTAATTGTGTCTCTTGATAACGCCGACAGTTTGCCAAGTGCGATTTACCGCTGTGTTAGAAATGCGAGGATGCGACCGTGGAAAAATCGCCACTGTTTGAGAAACGATGAAGAGATGCGAGCGGCCTGGGAAAACG